AGTGTCAGCCATATGATATTTTAGATTTTTTTTGCTCCATCGTGGCTATTGTATTTGCTTTTGCTTTTGTCATCTCTTTTCTTTTTTCATGAGACCAGTTTGCCTTAATTTGCTATCATATTTGGCTTATAACGAACACCTCCAGAAAGTATTGTTATGTTTATGATGATTTGGATGTGGATATTTAGTGATGAAATTAGTATCTATTAAATTCTAATGTGTTAGTTGAACAAATAATTTTTTTTGTATTGATGAAGATGGATATAACCGTTAACCAATAGAAAATTCATTACCTGGTGAGTATGGTTATGAATAATCCACGATGATTAGTTTGCGGTTATGAATATCGTTAATTTTTGTGCTTTTCGGAATGGATATAACATTTTCATCCCAAACCATACCGTTGTCATCTCTAAGGATGAACTTGCATTGGTTTCAAAAATAATTTCATCCAAAACACTTTCAGTGAAATTAAAAGCGCTTCCAAACTCGTAAGGTTCAAGTTGACGCACCGATTGCTCAAGCTGAAGTAGGTAAGGTTCTAAAATGAATCCCTATCTGAAACTGTTAATGTAGCTTTTCACAGGCTCCCACAGATCGAAACGAATAGTTTACCAATTTTTTTCTTGATTTGGGTTTCAAAACTATATCACATACGTAGACAGTTACTTGTTTGTTTATATGTTGATGTCATAATCATCACATGCAATGCCAGATGCTATCAGTCGAGTGCTTTTCTGGTATCCAAATCATACCAAGCATATGGAGATTAATGTCCGTTTTGCTGAGAGAAAGAGTGTCTAAAACACATCCTTGTGTTCAATATTTGTTTCTTCAAATGAACAGTTTGCAGATATATCGACAAAGGGTTTATGTGTTCCTCTATTTCAAACACAATGGAGAAAGCTCAGGCTTGGCTTCTCTACTCCTGAGCTTGGGGGGGGGGGGATGTTAAGAGGACAGATCAATGGTCATTAAAGTGCCAAGTATCATTAGATTGGAGGATCAGTTGGCAACTAAATGAGAGTTTGGTTCTAGCCCTAGCCTGTTATATCAATGCAACAATAAATCTTCAAGACTCGTTTGTCAAAGAGGAAAAGCTTGAATGAAATTATTCACCATTTTAAAAGCATTTCGAAGCTAATCCTCTCTAACAAATAACGTCTCATTGTATCCATTGACCACCGTCGTCTTCTTTTTCTCCCTTTGCTCTGCTTAACATGATCACTACCAGGGCCTCCGGTCAAACTGTGCATTCAATGTTCAGCTACCATTTACCATAATTCAACTAAACTTATTTACCCAAACAGAAAAATTCAACTCAACTCGCTGTTTGGTTAGTTTCAGTCAGTAGAGCTCATATCCCTGTTAGTCAAATAAGCCAACCCAACCACCACCACGACGAATTAACTCTCTCAATTATCAAGCCTATCTTATCGAGCTACTTGCTACATATTTCCAAAGCATTTTTTTTATATCGAATTAAACTCCTTCATATAATTATAATCAAAGCCAACTTGGCCAAACGAGAAAATAGGCAACAGCATTACTAGTTGAATACAGTCATGCGTGACATATTTATTTTTTAATATATTCCCTCATATAGGATATAATAATAAAAATTGAGATTTCACTATAAAACCAATTGACAATATAGATAATAGTTCAACTTACTTGTCAGCTCGTACACGATCTCTTATCTCAATGTGCGATTCATTCTCAACATATACAACCATTTGTCTATCTCTCTTATCATATGATAAGAAAGATGGACGTATATTTGTACAACCGGTTCCACTAAAATTTTCCATATAAAAAGGACCTACGCTCATAATCTTCCTATTAATGCACCTCCATCTCCATCTTTGGTTTTTCAAGCATTAGTTGGACTCGAAAATAAGTGTTTTTTAGGACGTCCGAGCATGCATGCATAAAGTCTAATTTTAACAAACATTTGTAGGCGAATTATTTGGATACAGATGTTTACCCACTAATCAATCAATATACTGTTCTCTATTTTCTGACATGTAAACCGAAGGTAAGATATGAACTAAGTGAACACTACTTTTTTTTTTTTTTTTTTTTTGATAGTGCTATTCATACATTCATTTTTATTTTTCATACATTATTTTTGATTTCCAGCAATCGAATCGATTGAATTGAAGAATATCAATGACAAAAAATTAATAAAAGTATATGAGAAGTAAAAATAGATGTGTCAATAACACTATTGTCTCTTTTTTTAACGAAACCTTTGAACACTCATCAATTCTTAGCTGGTAGCTCATATATCTCTTTGTACCGCCTTAATTTATTATACTTTTGCTTTATTGTTGAAGGCGTGGTTAACATTAACTTCTTGTGGTCCCTTGATCATTAATCCATACAGATCTGCAAGAGCGGCGAGGCAACCTTCATAGCCTAAAAGGCAAAGATAAAAAAATTTGAGTTAAACAAATAAAGAACAATGTGAGCACTTCTAATTTGTCATTAGACATTCATCTGTGCACTTTTTAAAAAAAAACAAAAACTCGTGCATACTTTAAGATAATAAAATAATCTTTAGCGTGTAAAAGTGTGAACCACGATATTCTAACGTATCATACAATGTAAAAAAAAAAAAAAAAAAAAGTAATGTTAGGTAGATTAGTTTTTTAAAACCAAATTTGTAAACTATTTGATGTGTCACTAATAGCAAATAAGTATGTTAATTATCAAGTAAGTAAGAATCCAATCATACAAACAACGACTTCAGATGATTTACAAAATATAGTTTAAATAAATCGTCTCCCTAGCATTACTCCAAAGATATATATATAGCAAAAAAGTTGGATTAGAATCTTTTGATGAGAACAAAAGTTGGTTAGTTCTATCCACCCAATACATATTCTTGGCCAAGTCCTCATATTAGAGCATCTTGAATGAGAAAATTCAAATTTTATATCTATGCTCTTATATTAGAGTAAAAAAAACAAAAAGTGGTTTTGAGTTTTTTTGGTTTTCTTATCCAACGCAAAGATTTACCTATATTCTGATATTCTGCGTTTTAAGATTTGAATCCTTGTTTTGGAGGAGAAAACATTGAAGTCAAAAACCAAATTTGAGTTTTGGCAGTTTCAATATGTGCATTGAAGATGATTCGACTCAAAACTCAAATGTTACTTTTCTTGTTAAATAACATTTTTCTTTGTTGGCATGAGCTCTACCCAGAACTGAATTAAAACCAAATCTAAGTCTCACTTTAATCAGAAAACTTAAATATGAGTTTTGAATCCAATATCTCCGGGTACATTGGAGATACAGTTATACATCGATCAAGACAAAACAGTTCGGAGAACGATATATTACGTAGTGCACCAGATTCCTTGCTGAAGACATGAAATGAGGCACATGTAGTCACCAGAGACCCATGAGAGAGAGAGAGAGAGAGAGAGAGAGAGAGAGAGAGAGAGAGAGAGAGAGAGAGAGAGGGGGGGGGGTATATCATGCAAATTGCAAAAAGTCCACTCGAATTGCGCTGGAATGGAATGCAAGTGGCAAGAGCTAGCAAGCAAAGTGAAGATCCAACAAGAGTAGTCACGGTTGAGGAAAATTTCAGTGTATATGGAACAGAAAATGGTATAGCACGTTCCATATTATAAATAAAAAGACGTTAAAATATACATAAAAGTTTGACATATCAACCCCATATGATCACATGGTACACATAAAAATTTCTCTCAAGGTCGAGTGGGGCATGCATGTTGCATCCAGTAGAGGCAGAAGGTTTTCTTTTTCAAAGACGTACAGTTGGGGTTTGCATGCATTAACTGTCCCGGCACGGTTTTGTAGATGAGAAGATGGTCCAAAATTTAAGACCAAACCCTACCACAATCTCCACTCTCGCCATCTTTCACATCCATGTCTATATATAATTTTCTCCCTCAATCCCCCGCTTCACAACCAAAAGTCACTTAATTAGCAACTACATCCGAACTATGGCTAATTATAAGATGACTTCTTCTTCTAAGCTTCTTCTTCTTACGCTTATCGGTGCTTTCGTTTTCTCTACTGGTGCAAGGAAGCTCGGCAGTGAAAAGGGCTCCATTGAGGATCAGAAAAACTTTTTTCACCGTGGTGGTGGTGGACTAGGCGGTGGAGGTGGTGGTGGTCTTGGAGGTGGAGGAGGTTTAGGAGGCGGTGCTGGTGCTGGTGGTGGTGCTGGAGCTGGAGCTGGTGGCGGACTTGGCGGAGGTGGTGGACTTGGTGGCGGTGGTGGTGGAGGATTGGGCGGAGGTGGCGGTGGAGGAGTAGGTGGTGGATCAGGTTTTGGTGGGGGAGCCGGTGGTGGGTTTGGAGCCGGTGGTGGTCTTGGGGGTGGAGCTGGAGGAGGTGGCGGAGGAGGATTCGGTGGTGGTGGTGGAGGAGGACTTGGGGGAGGAGCTGGGGGAGGTTTCGGTGGAGGAGCTGGAGCTGGCGGTGGGCTTGGAGGTGGATTGCCTTGAAGACGTACGTGTGCATGAATAATCTACGATTCATTTCTCCATGCACTTCCAAATCAATTATATATCAATCTTGAATTAGTAATTTAGTGCGTACTGTTGAACTCTCTCTAGCTCTATGAGTATATTAAGGAGAGTCTTCTTGTTTTGTGTCTACTGTAATGTGTACCATCGTTGCTTTAGCAACCAAGTATTTTAATCCTGAGGACTTTGTTCATGTTCGAACCCTAATTTGTTGAAGACACAAAGCTGATCTTCGTATGATTGTTAATTACCCAATTGTGCTTATGTATCCACGCATGTGTTACAGTGTTGTTATAAGAAACTTTTATCTGCTCATGATCTCTCGCCGAAGCTAAGCTCTTTCTCTTAATAAAGTCCAACAATATCTTTGAATGTTGTAAAGGAAAAAGCAGTATCGATCTTTGTAGACTTAGTTATAACTTCTTATTGTTCAATACGGGCGTGCTTGGTACGTGGGATGGGACGGAACGGAGTGGGACATACACGTTCCTTCCCATGTTTGGTGCGCTAAATTATGTGGAACGCGCTGTCCCACGGAACGAAAATAGGTTAAATTTTCGTTTCACCTCCTTGCCTGGAACGGGTCGTTCCGTCCTGTGGAACACAAAAATCATGAAATTTTAAGACAAAAATACCCCTTAGCTTTTTCAATATTTACGCCATCTAAATCATACAACAAACCCTAACTATCATCTTCTCTTCTTTGTCGCTGTGAACTTCTTCATCCCTGCATCTCCCCTTCGCAACCTTCTTCCTCATCCTCTTATCCATGAACTTCAGCTCTGCATCTCCATTCCAGGTTCGATCTGATTGTGATTGTGTAGCCTCTCGGTCTCTCTTTCCTTGTATTTTGTAGTACTTTTTGTTTCTCTCTTGGTTTGGTGTCTGCTGTTGCTTTGAGTATCTACGTAGCTTTCAGTCCTCGTACCACTTTCTGGAGGCCCGCAGTCAGAAACCCTACCCACTTGGACTGATTGAAACTAAACCCCATACCATCCATGTGACAACTGTTGAAACTAAACCCCATACTCTTACAAATCCTCCAATCTTAACTTTAATTAATTTTGATGTAAATTTGAAGTGGCATTATTATTCTTTTCTGATTTGCTTGTTTCGAGTTCATTAACACCCAGTTCCTAATTTTGTTGAATTTCTTTGTATTTTGTAGTGCTTCGATCTTCCCAATATTGCGTCTGTAACCAAAGATCTGCCTCTGTTTATCTGATTCCACTCCCCCTATTGAGTAGTATTGCATTCAGAGGTATCTCTCTATCTGGATTCATTTTTTCAGTGTTCAAGTTTCGATTTTTATGTGCTGAAATCTATAAATATGATGTCTTTGGGTTCTGTTGGATTGGATTGGGTTACATGTTTTGGATTTTCCTCTGTTGGATTGGGTTCTCTGTTGGATTTTCCTCTGTTGGTTCATTGTTGCTCAAAATATAGTCATTTTATATCTAGTTTTGTACATTGAACTTCTAAATGTTAAACAAAAAACACAGTGACTATTTTAATTGAACAAAGAATCGTAGTGCTCGATTTTGATTCCCCTCACCAATGTATATGATTGTTGAGGATAATTGCTTGGCTTAGAAATTTTTGATTTCTAGGAAGGGGAAAAAGCTAGAGTTTCATGGGGGGAGAGAGAAACAAGAGAGCATGGGTGGAAGAGAAAAATGGCTGGGGTCTTTTGTACTAATTTTTTATTGTTATTTTTATTTATGTGAGGTTTTGTGATAAGGGAGGTTGCTTTACTGCAGCAACAGAAAAATTAAAAATTGTTTCAAGGAGGAGTGAAATGACTCCAATTTTAGGAAGCTTGTGCTTTTGGTTTGTCATGAGAAAGAGAGAACACGAAGTGGGAGATGAAGATACAAAATATTAAGTTTAATTGTAATTTAAATTTTTTTTATACTGTTAGTGGAGGAACCCATCTATTGGGTGAAGTGGTAGGTCTAAAAATGGATATCATCCAGTGGAAGAACTCATACGTGGTGTTTATTTTTACACAAGATGGGAAGATGTAAACAGTTGGAGGTTCATACCATTTTCCAAGTTCTTTATTAATGTGAATGTTTATGTTAGTCTGATTAAGAACATAAGTGAATAAATCGTTTTCGAATTTGTAAACAAATAATTGCTTACAAATTCATAAAACTTTCCACCATAGTGAACTCCGATCTGCATCATAAATGCATGAACATATTAAAGGGGTAAAAATGCAAGTACTATTTGTTAGCAATAAAGGGCAAGGTTAGCTCCAACCTGGAAATTTCATGGACATATCCAATTCTTAATTTATTATGAGCAGTTGTAGAATGCAAAGAAAGACAAGACTTTGTTTCATCTTCATCCATTTTCTTTATAACATGTTTAATGAAGAAATTTTAGAGAGACCAACACAAACATAACACGATGTTGAATGGCAAAGAAACCGCTCAAAGATAATTTAGCAAAATTTTACAATTTGCAACCCCATCCATATGTGAAATCCAAGCATCTTTGTGACTTCTAATTTGTTCGCTTGTTCTGATAGTGATTAAACTATAGATGTTAATTAACTTAATTTTTAGGTAATCACAAATTAGAAACTTCATTAATTACATTACAAGCTAATACTGATGTTGCATCACTGATGCTTTCAGCCTACTGATGTTGCATCAGTGATGCTACACTCAAATTTTCAGTGCATGACAAAGTTGATGCTGCACTTTAAGAATTGCAATTAGGATATAAAGCTTCACTTTGTTTTACCATTTAATCATACGCTTGTAATTGAATCCTGCTTATGTTGATGCTCCATTCATTCATGTGTTGTTTTTTTGCATGTGAAGGTATAGATGAATATGAGACTCAATTCTTTGTTCTTTTGAACGTTTGGATTATAATGGCACAAGTCTTTACTATGAATGCACAATTGTTGAGGTATAGACAACAACAAAGGAGACAACGAGAAAGAGTTAGTTTAGAGCAGAGGACATTTGTTAGACTTCATGTTAGGAGAGAGGAAATAAATCGTACCACGCGATTGAGTGATACTAACTATTTGTGGGAGCTGCGAATGGATAGGAATGCATTTGCAGTTTTATGTGATTTACTACAAATTCGTGGTGGGTTGGTAGATGATGGTCATGTTACAATAGAAGAGCAAGTAGCTACTTTTGTTAACATATTAGCCTACCACAATAAAAACAGGTCAATGCAAGTTAGATTCATTAGGTTTGGTGAAACTATTAGTCAGTATATCCACAAAGTATTGTGTGCGTTGCTCAATTTGCAAGACGTGTTGTTTGCAAAGCCAACCCTTATCCCAGAGGATTGCACGGAATCGAGATGAAAGTGCTTTAAGGTAAGCATCATAGTAAAATCATTAATAACAAAATTATTTGTAGTTGGTAATTAATATAAGTTTTCTTTTGTCTAGGGTTGCTTAGGAGTGCTAGATGGAACATACATAGAGGTCACTGTGCCTGCGGTCGATAGACCAAGATATAGAACAAGGAAGGGTCATATAGCAACTAATGTGTTAGGTTTATGCGCACATGACCTCAAATTCGTATATGTGTTATCCGGTTGGGAGGGATTAGCTACTGATTCAAGAGTTCGTGGCGACGCTGTTACTAGAGCTAATGGCCTCAAGGTCCCAACCGGTAAGATAGACAAGTACCTAGTATTTTTCCTTACCTTTGTTGGCTAACAACTAAAATTTATTATCAACTAATATAGGTATATACTATTTGGTTGATTCCGGATATACGAATGGTGAGGGTTTTTTGGCACCGTATAGAGGCACTAAATACCATTTGCAAGAGTGGGAAGACAATTCACGTGCACCTAGGAATCATGAAGAATATTTTAATATGAAACACTCACGTGTTAGGAATGTCATTGAGAGATGTTTTGGCATCCTCAAAAGACGTTGGGCTATCTTACGAAGCCTTCCTACTATCCAATCAAGATTCAGGGACGAATGATCACCATATATAGTTTACTTCATAATTTTATCAGAATGTATATGGCGGTTGATCCTGAGGAAAATGCACGGCTTGCATTTGATGAATTGCCTATAGGGGAAGATTTATCAGAAGTATTAGCCTACATTGAAACTGTTGGGTCAAGCCAGACATGGACTCAATGAAAGGATGATCTTGCAAGAGAAATATATGATGAGTGGAGAGGAAGGAGAGCTTCAAAATTGGTTGACACGGTAGTTGTTGTAATTGTCTTTTATTGTTTGATGACATTTTACTGAGATGATTGCTAGAATTGTTTTTTATTGTTTGAAGACTATTGAGATGTTTGTTTTTTATTTCTCAAATTATCAGCAAGAAAAAAAATACTAACAATAAAGTAAAAGACAGAGAATAAACATTTAGCAAAATAACTTGCAGCAAACTGATTGCAATGACCTTTTCATTTCTTCATATTGTAGAATCAAGCATATGAATATAAAAGACAAAAAAACGCTGTTTACAATGGCCTTTTCATTTCTTCGTTTTAGTCCCTTCTTACTTGCCGTAAGTTGTCTTACTAGCTAATACTGATGCTGCACCTACTGATGCAGCATCACTGATGCTACACCTACTGATATTGCATCAGTGATGCTGCATATGAAACCAAAGAGTTGCAATACTGCCCAAAACAACAGTGAAAAACAAACACATATATTGTTCACTGGATTTGCTTTTTAATTGATCATATATATTGTTCACTAGATTACCTTTTCCACTAGGAAGTAATTTAGCTTTGTAAAAAGCTGTAGGCAGATATTAACTTAATTGCATCATGTTTGCTCCACTAACAATATGTTTCTTTGTTTTACATATGTAATATTATGGCTTTTTTGATAGATTATATGGCCACCTCACGTAATTGGACTGATCATGACGAGGATGTACTGCTTACCATCCTCGAGGAGATGGTAGTTAATGGTGTTAGGTGTGAGACTGGCAGTTTTAAAGCTGATACATTTGTAATGGTTGCCACCAAGATGAGGGAGATGATTCCGGGCATTAATATAGAGCCAAAACATATACAAAACAAGCTGAAGTGTCTAAAAGAAAAGTATTCATCTGCATATGACATGATGAATACCTCTGGATTTGGTTGGGATGACGAAAAAAAATGTGTTGTTGTGGATAGTGATGATGTACTTCAGCTGTGGGTGAAGGTACATTTTGTTTCTTATTCTTTTTCAATTAGTTGCTTTAAAAGTCATAACTTTGATTTCTTTGGGTTCTTATTGTAGAAACATCCTAATGCATCTTACAAACCAAATAAGCCATTTCCGTTGTATCTACGCTTGTGTACGGTGTTTGGGAGAGACCGAGCCACGGGTAGTATGGCTGAATCAGCAACAGATGCAATCGAAAACATGAGATTGGAAAATGAGGATGGCGATGAGACATTTGAGATGCCTCCGACTTCACCTACCCCATCTCCCTCTATTGGTTCGTCCAATGCATCTCAACCTATTAGGAAGAGGAAGAGGAATAAGAATGATGCTGATGCAAATATTGTAGCTATTATCTGTGAAGGATAGGATAAAGTTGTTACTGAAATGAAAAATTTGGGTGAAAGTTTTACTTTGAGAGGAGCAAAAGCCAAGTTACCTTCTCAGCTTCAGGCCACGGGTCTCCCATATGATCAGGTGTTGAGAATTTCAATGAAATTAGTGAAAGATATTGATATGATGAGTATCTGGTGTACACTGGATGACTCTCACAAGGCAGATTTCATTAAAATGTATATGGATGACATCTGAGCATTAGGGGGTTTAGTAAGACATTATCTTCTTTTGTTTTGTTTTGTTTTTTTTTTTTTGAAGTCAGGACGAATGTTTAATTTGGGAATATTTCATGTTTATTGCTTTAGCAAGATAATATCATTAAGCTTATATATTTTTCATCCTTGCATGACAACCAATGCCATAGACATCCAATTGTCTCACAGCTCAACTTATAATATACATATTGTTTGACACAATTTGCATTTCAATGTAATGACGAAGAGATGAAAGCAGATTGTATCAAAGATTCCAACATAGTTATTGCATCTACGGTTGTTCTACCACGCCAACCTCTTCATATGTAATTCATCACATATACATAACCATATACATATTGTGGCTACACTACCATGTGCCAAGTGCTAGGGCAATGGCATGCTCTCACCCTATTATTTTTTTAAATCACATAAAATTAATTGACGTATTATCCCACTAAATTAATTATATGAGCAACAAAGTACAAATACATGTCTCTTGTTTTCTATCATACACGGTACGAAATATGAACACATCCAAGTATAGTGTACAAAATATATCATAGATAAGCAGCAGCAAGAAGAAGAAGGAAAAAAAAAAATGTTCCGTCCCGTCCCAAACATTGTACCAAACAACAAACAAAACAGGGGTAAGTTAGTCACTTTAATGTTTTGGTTCCGTTCCGTCCTGCGCTTACCAAATGCAAAACAGAACAACTCTTTCATTCTGTCCTGCGCATACCAAACATCACATGGAACCACTATTTCGTATCGTCCTGTCCTGTCCCATCCCGTCATGTTCCGTCCCGTCTGCGTACCAAACGGCCCCTAATAGATTGAGATAAGTTAACGTGGTTTATGTAATGGAGCTATCCATTAGAAATTTGTATACTATGGAAGATTTGTCTCGTGGTATAATATGGGTGGACGACTGATATGTCTCATTTTTATAGTTCATTAATGAGTTTAGTGAAATTTTGACACCCATAAATCTCTCGCTATCGATGCTCTCACTCATTAGCATTGTTTGTTTATGAGTAATGTTACACTTACCATTTATTTGTACCAACTTTCTAATAAAGGTATGACCCATCAACGCATACCGGTTCTATCTCTAATAGAGAGATAGTACAAATGATGGTATAAATAGATGATAAAAATAGCATTTTTGTTTGTTTATAAATTGGAAGATGATAAACATACACCTTTTTTAGCGTTTCATATATCTCTACTTGGTCATTTTGGTTGTTTCCATTTGATTTGTGCAATTAGATGACTATAAATAAAGAGGGTTGTGTGAAAATCTCTATTTAGTCATATTGGTCTTTACCCTCAAATTTTGTCAAATCATTTTGGACCATTGTTTGTAAAATTGAGGGTATTTTGGTCCTTTAATGACATAATTTTTCACAGAATGATAGAAAAATGATTGATGGTGAACAAACTCTGGGGCCACATCTATTGATTTCAAATCTCATGGACCAAGTGAGTAGTTATGCAAATCTCAGAAACCATTTAGACTAAAAAACCTTGCATATTATGACATGTAAAGTATCGCTTGAATATCTAATACTTCAAAAAAAATCTCCCACCCAAAACCGAACCAACCCAAACCACAGACGCCAATAATATACAAAAAGAGCAAGACGTGTAGCTTACACATCTTGGCGCCGTGCGTGTCAATGAAAGTGACACTTATAATGGTATTAAAAACTCTACGTCCTGAAATCTTCATTCCATTTGTATAAACTTCACGTAAACCCTCAACCCTCAACCTCGGAGAGAGAGAGAGAGAGAGTGATCGAAACGGTGACGATGCTTGGCGTTCTAAGGCGAAGAGTCGTTTCCGGAGGCTCCTCTGCTTCGGTAAACAACCCAATACCACGTATTTTTTCTTGTATATTTTTTTAAATGAATTTGAAATATATATTTCGTAGATTATTCTGAAAGCTTTATTTCTGTTGTTTGTCTCAGATTTTGGGGCACTCACTGCTGTCAATCCGACCTGTTGCAAAATCGGAGGTTCTTTCTCTACTACTTTGGATTTCCCCCTTTTTTTCTTTAAAAAAAATTCAAATGTATATTGTGTTCTTCTGTGATGTTACACAATGTGCATGCTTATGTTTACTATAAATTGGATTTGGTTTTGCTAGCTTCTATCAACGTCGAATTCCGAAGTGTGGGTTTACTTTTAATGTGTATTATGTGGTATCCTTATTGCATTTTTTGATTTCCACGCACGTGGGCACAGATTTTACTTCAACCCAAAGGAGGATTAGACCGTATTCGAAACCTTTCTCACCTCATTTTTGCAGGTAAGTTTTTCTGAAAGATGGATTACTTTTTACATATGGTTTTGTTTTGTATCTCAATCAATGTATCGGTGTGATTGATCCTGCTGTAATACATGTTTTCTTGTTACAGGTTCCTCGCCTTGTAGCAGGACAACGAGGTTAGTGTTCTGTCTATTCTGTCTAACTGGATAATTACCAGCTAGTGTCTTGTGAATTGACGGTAATGTTATCCTATTGTACATTGTGTTCTGCATTCACAAAAGAGATTTGTTCTGCATTCCAGTCGGATTGTGTACACTGCTCATGTAGACAATGTAATTATGTATCTGTATGCGTAAATGATTGATAATGTATGAAGCAAGTAAGTGCTCTTAGGGTGCAAACCTCTCTTTCTCACGCTGCATCTGTTTGAAGTTTATGGTGCATTTGTTCTCAATACTGGTTTTCTAATGACTGAGTGACAACATAACCGTTTGGTTGCGAATTAGGTTTGGGGCATCTCTATATTCATCTCCAGTCTCTTTTTGTCACCTTGGTCCTGAATTGTAAACCGAGATGTCAAATTCACTTCATTAACATGAAACAAATTTTAGTGAAGAACTAAGATAAAGTTATTTTTCCCCTTTGTATTTGAGTTTATTATGAATTCGTGTTTCCTTTGCTCTAGTTCAATTTCTTTATTCTAAAAAGAAAAAGAAGGAAATTGTCATGGCTTGACTGTTTCTCAGGAATGTCAGTGGCTACATTCTGCCAGAGCCTATCAGGCAAATGTGGAGCAGGCCCTTTTCTTCCATCGATTTAACTCACTCGAATTTATAATTGTTGGCATGCTGTTTATTGTTGAAGGATGAATGCTTGCTTTATGTTTAAAGTAGTAGGCTATAATACTTGTCATTGTCATTTAATTTTCCTTTTACTACTTTTTTATAAAAATATTGTCGTCAGATTTATTTGAATGGGGAGTCACTGAACAATTTACGTTCATTATAACAGACACCGTTGTGAATCTAAATTGGCAACACTACGGTTGTATTGCATATGTTCTGTTCTCTGTTAATTTTATGCATCTAATATGCAGTGACCTAAATAAGGAGAAATGTCAATGGTCAATCTAGTATGGAGAACACTCGTTAATATAGTCGTCCTGTTCATATGTTCACGCACAGACTGACATTCACAAACAATTAGAGCGTTGACGAGCTTGAGAGTGAGAAAGAATCTGGGTCCTCTTACGAGTTCAACCCTATGAGTGCTCTCCGAAACTGGATCAATAACGGGCAATACCTGTAGGAGGAAAATAACTAAATGTAGGTGGATTAAACAAGAAAAGAAAATGTAGTACTAGTTTTTCACCAATTCACTAGGAGAACTTAGGAGTGGTTTCATTTTTAAGGTTCATAATGTGAAAGTAGGAATGAACGAACATCCTGGAGTAAGTTATTTTAAAATGGTACTCTTCAAACTTTGCACAATTTATGATACTTTGAAAAGGATTAGGATTGATAATTTACACCGGTGCCTTAATAGTAAAAAGGAGCCTTTGAAATATGCATTGTGTGCTCAGAGTATTTTAGTTCCTGTGAGGAAATTAATGTCTTTGGTATCTCGTCTCTCTCTCTCTCTCTCTCGGGTGAGGTTTAACTATTGGCTTCCATGTGATGCAGGGGATATGGTTGATGCCTTCGTCCCTTTTATGGGTGAATCTATCACTGATGGCACTTTGGCGAAATTCTTGAAGATTATGCTCAGCCACTTCTTATATTCTGTCTAATATACATAGTGCTGAATGTTCTTGGGTCTGATTCTATGACTTATTATGCCCTTTTTGGAGGCAGAGCCTGGTGATAGGGTTGCAGTTGACGAACCAATTGCTCAAGTTGAAACAGATAAGGTTCTATAATAAAGTCCTATTTGAATGTTAATATAGTTTTCCACAGTTGCAAAAGGGATTGGTAACCCCTAATTGACAGGAACCATGATTAGGATTTTAATTCTGTGATTATTTTTCAACACGTGACGATTGATGTTACTAGTCCTGAATCCGGTGTGATCCAAAAGGTATAGATTTTAGTCCCATTAACTTTGGTGCTCTTTCATATGAGTGCATTGGTTGCTAATGTTTTAGTTCACCCTGTGTGTTTACTTTAATTGTTGGCAGTTTGTGGCCAATGAAGGGGATACTGTCGAACCAGGCACCAAGATTGCTGTTATCTCAAAGTCTGGTGAAGGTGTAGACAATGTCAGTCCATCTGAGAAGACATCGGAGATAGCTCTTGCTCAACCATCTCCCCCTGTTGAAAAGATTGTCAAGAATAAAAAACTACACCTGTTACTGAAAAGCGTAAAACTCCCTCTTCGCCACCTCCTAAACCCTCTGCCAGAGAACCTCAGCTTTACTCTAAGGAAAGGGAAAGACGAGTAAGTCTTCTATGGTTGCTTATATTATGTTCATTTTTAGCATATTTTAAAATATAAAATGAAAATCCTCTGCAAGATTTTATAAGGCTATTTTGATTTTCTGCTTGTAATCATTTAAAACCGCATCATTGAAGATTCCAATGACAAGGCTTCGGAGGCGGGTTAGTATAAGATTGAAGGACTCACAGAACACATTCGCAATGCTGACGACATTCAATGAAGTTGATATGTGAATTCCAAAAAATTATTCTTCAGCATTCATCATGTTTTTTTTTTTCTTCCAGCTCTTGGATTAATTCACCAGCTTTTGGCATGCCCCATCTTGAATAAATTGACTGTAGTTTTCTTTAGATGCTATTGCATGTATTTTCTTCAGTGTGGCTGGTTAGCGGAATTCAATCTGTGCCTTTCCAGTTTTATCAGGGATTGTATATGTGCATCTTCTTTTCTTCCCTCACTGGTTTGCTGCTTGTGGCAGGACCAATTTGATGAAGCTTCGTTCTGAGTACAAGGATGCATTTGTTGAGAAGCACGGAGTCAAGTTGGGGCTTATGTCTGGATTTATCAAAGTACGCCGTACATAATACATGTAGAATTGCTAATCTGAAAGACAGAATAATATGTTGCGTGCATATCTATATTCTGTACCCATATTTGTATTTGTTTTCTATTAACAGGCTGCCGTCAGTGGTCTCCAAAACCAGCCTACTATTAATGCAGTCATTGATGGGGACGATATCATATGCAGAGATTACATAGATATAAGTATAGCCGTTGGCACTCCAAAGGTTTGGCCATGATTCTTTTGATTTATATACCTTCCATCTTGACAATTTGCAAACATAGATGTCAAAGTAGCAACTTTTTATGTGAAACTAAAAATTTTACCCCTCTTTGATTTCGGCATTTGCATTTGCAGCTTCGGTCGGTTTAACAGTCTTCTAAATCCGTAAGATCCCATCCAGAAATCTATATTTTAGATTTTTAAGAGTGAAAATGTGGTATTCCTTCTACAAACTATGTCACATAAGCTCAGGGTTTGTGACGGTATTCTTGTTGTTTCATCTGTTTGACCGTGTAATTTAATATGCAGTGCGACATATGATTGTTGACAAACTATTTCGTTTTAATACCTCAGAAGTTGTAACCTTTGTGTAAATAAATATACATGTTCTTCATGGTTATTATGTTCTGGAAGGAGTGGAAACATAGTAGCTGATCGTACCTGTAAAATAAGATTGCATTTTAATTGCTTATTTTGAAGTTTTTCAATTTATTTTCTTGCAGGACCTTGTTGTGCCAGTTATCCGCAATGTTGATCAAATGAATTTTGCTGAGATAGAGAAGGAGATCAACACCCTCGCAAAGAAAGCAAACGATGGATCTATATCGATCGACGAGATGGCTGGAGGTACATTTACAATATCCAATGTGGAGTTTATGGAAGCCTTCTAAGTACCCCCATCATCAACCCCCTTCAGGTTTGGTGCTTCTCTGACACGATTAACTTGGACTTTTATTATCTTGTTTGAACAACTGGAACTTCTTATTCTGGGTGGACACCAACGTTGGAAACGTAATCTCACAAAAGCGATTTTTTTGGCAGTAGGCAATCTTGAGCATGCACTCAATAGTTAACCGTCCAATGGTTGTCGGAGGCAACATTGTCCCGCGGCCGATGATGTACGTTGCTCTTACCTATGACCATAGGCTCATTGATGGAAGAGAGGCAGTTTACTTCTTGCGTCGTATTAAAGATGTTGTGGAGGACCCTCGGAGGCTTCTCCTCGACGTATGAAGCCCCCCATCAGCAGTGGTACGTGATTTGATTCGGGTTTTTGGAAAAAATCTGATATACTACAGGAAACATTGATATACTACAGGAAACATAAATACGTAAGGCACCATTTTTGGTAGGATTTTGATCTGTTAACTGAGATCCTAGGTGAGTTGTTCAATTGAGGCTTGTCAGGTTGCGTTTTCTAATTCTAATGGTTGATCGACCCCGTTTTCTAGATGTTTTGAGCTATTGTGAATCTTATATGGTACGAATTATTTCCAAGGAACAACATTTATTTAGAACTACAAACCTTTTTGTAGAATATATCTTATTGTCGAAAGACATTATATCCTTATCAATTCTTGGATTTTGTTTCGGCTGATGATTCGAATGGTTTATTTTCATGATGTCCTTAACATTGTCATTGTTATTTGTTTTTGCTTTGCAGAGTCCGAGTAAGGAGATTGGCCCGTTCAGAAAAGTCTTTATCTAAATGGATTCTTATTCTTTTTTCTTTTCTTTTTTTATTTAAATGAGGATTAGTTGTGAGGCCTATCATACATTGAATTTCAACGATTCGAACTGTCAATTTTTCTAAGTCTTTATTTATAGATCCTCCTTGCAAAATGAGTAGTCGAACCCAGGACGATGCTTATCCTTTCCAATCAATGTAATCCAAAATTTTCTTGTGATCCAAATTCGATCATATATTCAGTCATGAAACGTGAACTTGTGAATCTCAACTTGTGATCCAGTCGGATCATAGATTGATTTGTATTGATTACCAACAATTATAATATTCTCGTATTTCTTGAGCTGCATTTAGGAAAACCAAAACCACTCTCCAGACCAAAATTCCCAAAAATCATCCCATTTTTCGGTTCCCAGGCAGCTCCTGGTGAACGAACTGAATCTAACATCCACTAAAACTGATTTAGAACCAGCCCGAAATTCGAAAACGCCAAAAAATAAAATGGTAACAATTTCGGATTCAAATTTGGTGCAAGAGAAGTGTTGTATGCAATAATGGAGATTGTCTCTGACAGAGCAGAAATGCACAAGAACATTTAGGATCCGGAGCGTCCATTCTGCCCCTCACGCTCTCTGCCAGCCTCCTCTACATTTCCGTCACCAGGATTCTGTTGGTGATGAACAAAATCCAACCTTCCCCGCTTCCTCTTTTGGGGACCATGATCGAGAAGTTCCCTTCCCGCATGGAGCCAGCTGTGTGGTGGCCGGACGAGCTACAGGCTAAACATGAAAAGGTAGGCGAGGAGGCGGCGGAGAGGAAGGGATGGGATGAGAAGTTGGAGGAGGAAATGAAGGGGGTGTTGGGCATGGTGAGAGAAAAGGACGGTGCGGAAACGAGGGATCATTTCGAAAAGGAGAGAAGCATTTTTCATAAAACAGAGTCTTAACGACTGCGCTCGGGTTCACTTTGCTTCAACCACGCAGAGTGAGTGAGTCTGAGAGGTTGAAGAAGATGATGAGTGGGTTGCGAGTTACCAAATGTGGGACTGCAAATTGGCAGACGAGTAATATGTCACATCATATACTGTAAAATACAGGAATGCAAAAATCTACACACTATAAGTTCTGCCTAAATCCACAAAACATAAGGTTCCCCGTTTAAACAACTCGAAAATTCGTTGGCAGTCTTGATGCCGTAACATGAAGGTACATGCTCGTGTCAAAAGGCTAAAAAGTTTCAGCTTAACAGATTGACAAACTTGACATCTCTCAAAACCTTTTTCTTTTGGCGAAATAGAAAATCAGTCACCTGCATATTTCAAAGCGTTAGGAGCAATGATGCGTTCAGATTCTGACTTCTATGTGTTCGTTTAACAAGTGCTCCTTCACTGACTGAATAGGCACCTGCAAGGATTATAATCAGAGTATTACTAATGATGATCAGCACCTACATGCTAACAAGTCAAATAAAAGGTTCAAAAGCTGTACCTCCTTCCGATGGAAAATACCAGCAGCTAGGGCAGCCGATGCATTTGTTTTCCTGAACACCTCTGAGAAGTGTTCAGCAGAACCCGCACCGCTACTAGCAATCACAGGAATGCTCACAGCATCTGAGATCAGCTTTATTAAATCTATATCAAATCCCTTCTTTTGACCTGAGAGCATCGAAGACTCGACATAAGCATGAAAATCCAACAAAAACAACAAACTAGTTTGAAAATGACGTAAAAAAAAAACAAATGTAAATGACATCAATGCCTTCCAGAACAAAATAGATAGTTTCAAACATTTGGGTAGTTTACGAAACTAAAACTTACAGGGGGAAGATAGCATTCATTGTACATAATAACTTTATGTATCCATTTTATAAGGATTATGCTCGAAAAATAAATTAACGTAACAGAAAAAAAAAGTTTCGAGTAGAGCAATAGTAATCTTTACCATCACAATCAATACAGTTTAGCAGTATTTCTCCAGCTCCAAGCTCCTCTACTGCTTTTGCAAGCTCATACGCCCCAATTGGTCGGCCTTCTCGGCCACCGCTAACCTGAAGAACAAACAACAGATATTTTCAAGATATAATCCGGAAAATCTTGTAAAAGCGGAACCAGCCAAGGCAAGGATCTCTAATTGTTGCATCTGACAACCAAGTTCATACTCTTGTCCTCCCAATTATATATTTTAACATACAATTGAAGCACAGAAATGTCTTACAGCATACCTTAACACAAGTTAAATTGGAAAAATGAAACAATTCAATGATGCACAAACAGATATAGCAGTGTGTGCGGTAAGAATAAGATGACGTAGGTTACTCTAAGTTCCTTTCTTCCTTGTGAAGAACTTAAAATTCCACCCACGACTATCTTAAATCAACAATATATACTCCTAATCATGTCTTTAGAGCCAACAATTGACGCCATACTACGATACTTTAAAGGCGACATGGAGGTTCAGGGCTTTCTTGTTACTATTATTTTCTGGGGACAAATTAAATGAAGCATTCCATGTAATATGCATGCTTCCAAAATATATCATGTTTTAACTTTGAACAGTAGTACAGAGGTAAAGAAAGCAATGGAAAAGAATACTTACTGTGCACTGGTACCATGCAAATTCTTCTCCATTTGGACCTGTAGTCAACAAAAAGTAATTTTCTTGCTTATAACTTTCCTAGAAAATTTGAACACACGATTTTACTCTATAAAACATGAAGATCAATGGCATATCCAAGCTGGAGAAACAAGGTTATGCCCCCTTACCTGGGTTTGTTACCCTTATAGTCTTGAACTCTACATCTTTTGGATTCTTAACGTACACTCTGCGAGGATCAATGCTCACAACCACAGCCTGCATCATATTTTTCATATAAACTCAATATCGTCTAAGCTCAATAAAAGAAACAATGATCCATGCTTTCTGCGAATACTAAGACAATACCAGACACAATTAAAACCATCTAGGTGACCATGACTAATTAGTCAGTCAAAACTACAGAAATTCCTTCACCCTCAATAAATTCAGAACACGTAAAAGCAGAAAGAACAGAATGAAAAGAGCTTCTTCATCAACTCTAATTTCCTACTTATGGTCCTACAAGAACTATAATGAATTCTCGGAGGGTCAAAAGAAATGCTCCAGAAACGGACACTGGGACAATTTCAGCAAAGGAAAATAACAAAATGTGTACTGAGACTTCTGATATGATGTCCAATTGTGTAGATTAACTCAAAAGAATGTTAAGCATGGATGCATCTATTGGACAACAAATTACCTGATTTCCATAAACTCTAGATATCTGCTCTAAGCTACTTTTTCCACTTTTTACCTGAAAATTCAGTTGAAAAACCATTAGAGAGGCATACACAGTGTGATGTGTATACTGTACCAATCTGAATTTCAAACAGCAAAAGTTATTGCATACTCCAGTTCTTAAATATTCTTCTGCAGCATATACTGCATCACTTCCAATAGAAATCTTATCAGCCCCGCATCTGAAATATTCAGAAGCAACTTCCAAACTAGAATAGTGCCTGAAAAATAAAAAATTGAACCTATAATCCATGTCCATACTGATACATTTAATTAGCATATATAATTTGAGTTGAAGCTATAGGATTTGAGTTTCTCTGGTAAAAAACATAAGCAGTAAGGTTGAAACATGCAAGAAACGACAATTATTGGTCCACCAAAATTTTACACCGAAGATTATACCTGCCATTTGCATCTGTAAAATCTCTGATACCACCTCCAACTGTTAATGGTACAAAAACATTTTCAGATGTGTATCTCAATACCTACAAAGCATGAAAGCAAACAAGAATTAGGAAATTAATGAACATGTAACAATCCAGCTTTAAAATCGGAGAACTCTGAATTGTGTCAAAACTGAGATTCAAGTCGAACATTAACTGATTCTCTATCACAAACCTGTAACATGGGCAAGTCACCCAGAGGGAAGTCTCGAAAACCAGTAATATTCAGAAAGCTGACCTGAAAAATTTAAAATTAAGACCTCAGCAGGTTACTAGAGCTCTTAGATGATACATAAGCAGTGAAATTTGTTCAAACTTAAAGGAGGCATACCTCATCAGCCCCATCTTTGTAATACTGTCGAGCAAGCTCCACAGGCTTACCAAGTTCTCTCACCTATTAAATTTTTTGATTAGTAGACAAAAGAGCAATTTTCATGACATAAAGAAAATAATTTGAATCATATAAAAAATATGAAAAGATATCAAGTACGATCTTGAATAGTCATGATAGAACAAGAACCCCAATGAATAGAAAAAGTAACCCTTTTCTTTTTAACTAATAACAATATTCCATCAAAACAAAGATACGCTTTCTTCAGGTAGTGCTGCTGATCCTTTTTAAAGCAGGTCGCATACTCAAAGTGAAAAAAAGGGTATCAACCATGAAACCAGAAGTGCTTGAAACAAGCAAATAATCTACAGTAGTGGGGCTTATTGAACTAGATCTTATATATTTTGGATGTGATAAAATATTATTCACTGATGGCTAATGATTTAGAATATCGTTTGTAAGCATGACAAGCATCCAGAAATAAGGTTTAAAAATCACCAAAATCATACAAGGAAAGAGTCAAGAAATGTTGCAATACCTCATTCTCTTTTGTGTGCTCTCTTACATCATATTGGTCGCCTTTGGTTACAACAAGATCTCCCTTGTCATTCGTCCTCACATCAAGACAAGCAATCACCTAAGTAACAGAATTTAGGGACAACCTTCACAGTCAGCATATGACGGAAAATGAGATAAGTCATAATCCGAATCTGAACTATGATATTGTAAGTTTTTTTTTTTTTTTTTTTTTTTTTTTGAAGAAGAAGAAGAACCAATTTTTTATTGCAAAGAAACAATAAAAATACACAAGTGGACAAGAAGTCCGCAAAGGCACAAATAAAACAAGATAAAAAGCACCATCACCCAGACATTTAGAACTATGATATTGTAAGTTGGACTACAATATTTTAGGTCAGATTAAAATTCAATCCCTTCTCCCTTTTCCTACCACTAAAAAGATAAAACTATAAAATAAGTCAACAGGAATTACCCTCTTAGCAAGTTTCAAAGCCTTCCTTTCAGTGGGCTTCTGTCTTCACAAGAACATCTCAGATGGTTAGATGGTTAAACACAGTCAACATATGGGAAGCATATTTCTCATAAGTGCAAAGGTTACCTTTTCCAGGTTTGTCTTTGGATACAAAAATCTTCTCAATATCGTAAGACCAACATCTAAACATTCACATTCAGGCAAAATTGATATCAATAATAGGCCTTCATATAATAAAATAAATCTAAATCACTTTTCATGCATGGATAAAGTGAGCTGGAACAAAAGTCTATAAAATAGATCTCAGAATGCCAAAATTACACAGCAAAGGTCAGAATGATCCACTGCCTAGCCCTTAAACAAAAACTTTACCTCTTCATTCTAGGAAAGAACTCGATGGTCTACCTTAAACAAAAACTGTACCTCTTCATTCTAGGAAAGAACTCAATGGTCTAAAGTCATGTGAGATAAAATCTGCTCCCCCTTTACTAAAAGAAACAAGGCATGGAACATTCCTACAATCCCTGTACACTTTGGACTACCATTAAATCTACTAACAGACAGGAGAGAGAAATGATATCTTGCCTCCACTCTTTTCTGGGTGGAATTGAACTGCATGCACATTTCCCCTTCTAACAGATGCAATAAAATTGTCTCCATAGTTGCAAGTAGACGAAACCCAGTCTTTGTTTTCATCTGACTGAAAATTGGTATAAAACTATGTCAACCCCAGTAAACATACAAATCAATGTATTCTTAGTGGAAGTATGCAGCAGATACATGAACTTTAAATTATTTTCTGTGAAATAGGAGAATAAGACATACAGGCATGGCTCTGTAAGAATGAACAAAATAGACATGATGGCTTCCAACATCATCCAAAATTAATGAGTCTTTTTCAATCTGTAAAGCATTCCATCCAATGTGTGGAACTCTGAAACCATTTGATGAATCAAAACGGCCAACCACTCCGGGTATCAAGCCAAGACCTTTCACTGAGACATGTATAATATCAGTTCAACTATTACTAAATTAAATAGATAAAAAATATAAAAGCTATAATAATGTTATGTACATTCAAATTAACATTAATTTGTTTCTAGTACTATCTCCTTAAACCAAGCTGTCTAACTCAATTGTCACTAACAGTAACAACCTGAGGCTTTCATTATCAGGATAACTTCACAAATGGATTGCTGCATCCTCAGTATTTGCTATGTATAACAGCATGGAAAGGAAACTCCTATAATATGGGAAGAGTGATTTCTCTATACTAGGGGTTTTAGGTACCATTATATAACAAAATTTATTAACTGGAATTTACAATATATAACGCAAGAATACAATACATTCATGTCAAATGCAATTGTACAACTTAAAGCAATTGCAAATCCATTTCTACTACATTTTTTTAAGTTATTCCGAATCCTTTTCAATACGTGATTTACACTATGTTTGGACGAGGGAAATAACCATGGAATTTTGGTAAAAGTCAGAATTTATAAATTGACAGGCACCAATTCTCTTGTTTGGATTCATAAACATAGAAATTTAGAATTTCCGTATGGAAAAAAAACTTGGAATTTGGAACCTCCAAATCCCAAGTTCAAATTCCATGTAAATATGTATTATTTCTCAATTTCTATGATTGAGAGTTTAAAAAAATAACAAATTCCGTATTCAATTCCATTGTTTTTTAGGTTAACCAAACAAGAAAATTTACAAATTCTAGAAAATAAAATCTCGTCATTTCAATTTCAGTCATTTTTAAATTCTTTAGTAATCTTAAATTTCTTCACCCAAACATAGTGTTAGTGTTCTAATACATTGTATCTAGCTTATTTACAAATTCAATGCCTTTTAAACCATTCCATCCAAATAACTATAAGTGAATCGTAGATGTTGAGTTACAAAATTGGAAAAACAAAGTTGGTGAAAAAGGAGGCATGAAGCACTGACCTGGTCCATTCTCTTCACTGGATTCAAAAAGGAGCTGAAGTCCAAGACAAATGCCTAGAAATGGTCGATCCTTCTCAATATATGAACAGATTGCTTCCGCCATCCTGAAAAACAATAAAGGGCTGAAATTTTCCCACAATCTAAAAGCTAATAAACTATAAATGACATGAAAAATATTATGTGATTAGTTAGCAAACAAGAAGATTCAGAGCCATTATTTTGAAATTTGTTATTCAAACTAACTACCAATCATTGTCACGATGCTTCTTTGATCATGAGTAACTTAACCACATTCCCCATTCTCCGAATATGCACTTTATCCGTTCTTTGCCACTAATCCATTTAAACAGACTCAACAAGCAATTGATCCTTATAGAATCCAACATAAAATAAAAGAAACACATACCCGTTCTTATTCAGCACATCCATGGCGGCAGCAAAAGCCCCCACGCCAGGAAATACTAGGCGTTCGGCATTCAGAATGTCTTCCGGTGTTTGGACCTACATTTCGAACTTCTGTTAAAATTCAACTCATCTATTTACCATCCTTCACACCAACCGATTTTCGTCATCTTTCTTTTCTATTCCAAATTTCTAACAAAATCTATAACATACAACACTACAAAGAAATTGGTTACAAGGGCATAACTTTGATAGATAATTGACCAAAAAAGAAAAGAAAATTTACATCTTTGACGTCGAAGCCTAGGTGGCGAATGGCATTTCTCACACTGCGAACATTGCCGGCGCCGTAGTCGAGCAGAGTCACCACTGATTCATTATTCAAACAAACTAAATTATTATTAAAATAATAAATAATAAAAAAAAACTCAAATTTAACAGAGAGAGAGGGAGTGAGGGAGAGCAGAGCACCGGAATCTGCGGTGGAGGAGGCACGGACGGAGAAGCTTCTGGGACGTCTGAAATTGAGGTGAGTTTTGGGAAGAAACAGAAGGGAGGAAGCGGAGGATGAGCGAAACGGTAGGGTTTTGGTGGAAGAGGCGAATGGCGGCGCCTCCATTGCAGGCTCTGAAAAAGTAGTCTTCCCCTGGCTCAGACTCGGACTCTGATGAAAGGCCAAACTAGAGTTGGAAGTCTACTTACCTAATGCTATTTGGTTCTCGCTCGTTGTTTGTGGCATGTGTCTCAAACCACGGCAGCGCACCGTTTTGAAGAATTTACTATTATTATTATTATTATTTTTTGGTTGTGAAAAATTATAATTTTTATAAAAAAAAAATTTATATGAATTATATACTACTAGAATCTGATTGTCAACTTCAAATAAAAAAAACTATATTGTACCCTTTTGTACATAACTGAAAGACCATATTAGAAAAAAATAAAAAAGAAGACAATATTAGAAAAGAAAAAAAGGTGGGCATTAAAAAAAATTTGCACAAACAAGTTTTTCTGTTCTTTTTTTGAACCACATGGTCATGTCACTCTACTAATACTCTAAGGGTGGGTTTGTTTGCTCCACTAGCTCTCACTAGACTAGAGTAGGTGTAAGTGTAGTCTCGTATTTGTTATACTTCAATAGTAGTTTTAATGAGACTCACATCGACTAAACGCTTCACTAGAGGGTCTTAGTGAGATCCCCTGAAATCAAGTGGACTACTAAGATCAACTTCTCCGCTTCGCCCCTCCCATCTGCTTCTTCCTCACTTCCCACAACCATTTTAAATAGATCGACAACGGACCTGCATCGCTTCACCAGGCAACTTTTGGATTCAATTGTCACCACCAAAACGACAAATCCCACAAGTCCATTTATTAAATCCCCTCCGATTCGATCTCTCCTTCTACGATTTGTTGTCGGTATTTTGATCTTTCCCTAAAACCTCCACGATCTGTTCCCAGAGAAGAATCAGCCAGTAGTGCGCTTGCACGTGGGCCCCAAACGTTAATTTCTTGCCGAAGATGCGTGTCCCCTCCTACATGTTTTCCACGCACCTGGCGCCAAAAAAAAAATATCCATCATGGTTGTCGATTCGAGCATGGGGGAGAAGTCGGGCTCCGTTGGAGCCCAGTGAATGGTGTGGGTTGGAGGGGGAGGGGGAATGGATTTAATCACCTATAGCCTAGGGGATTGGATTGGGTTGAAGTTGCTCTAAATTTGGCATTACAATTTCAGAGCTATAAGGACAAACAATAAAAATAAGATGACATCATCAAAATTTGAAAGTTTTCCTTCTTTACTATAAGCAAAATTAACACAATGCTATACTAATAAAAGGAAGAAATTAATGAATTGAGACGCGATAATTTGAAAAGAAAGACCTTATGTATCAGGGCAATCCATCAGTTTATCACTTTTACATGAAATTCCATCTATTCTCCATGACTTGAAAGAATCTTTTGAAAAAAAAAAACTCTCAATTCCTGAACAACAAGATATCTGATATCCCTAAGAGACATAGATACCAAGTGTGTCCTTTGGGGACATGATGAAATAATTCTATCCCTGCCTCATGTAATCATGGAAAGTATAATTCCTTGATTCAACCATAAGTTTGAAGAATCATATCACACAGGACACCTACAAAACGAACCCTAAACAATAATTACACCATTGTTTTTTTCCACATCCTTCAGATAAAACCACTTTCATGTTAGCAAAATCATTGAAAAATAAAATTAACTTTGTTGCTAATTAACCAGAAGCAATGATTCAAATTTTGTTTACACTTGTGTTGGCTGAAATGGCATTGATTCTGAGCCTTTTGTTCAGAACCCCTCTGAGGAAGTTGGTGATCGTGGGGTTAGATCGATCGAAGCAAGGACGGGGGCCATTGGTGGTGAAGAGCGTGGGAGGAACCATTCTCGTCTTCTTTAGCTCCACCATATATAGTGTATTCAGTGTTCAAAAACGTTTATCAGAGGCAGGCTTTGTCAATCCGACAGATGAGGTTCTTATGGCACATCGTCTCCTGGAAGCATCTCTCATAGGTGAGCTATATCATTCATTATAGTAACCCTTTTCCTTAAAATTTACTTGGGAAAAAACTATATCCGTAACCTTGTCAGGGTAAAGTTGGAGATTTTAATTTTGATGACTGTATGTATCTAATTTTGGCCGATGAATGAAAATCCTTTTCTGTTGGCAATCCGGTAACCAATCTCTATGTCATGTTAAGTCTTATAAAACAAAACTCTCCGAAGCAGGAAAAAGCTTAGTCGGAAGTGAAAGAAGCTGAGATTTTTTTTTATGTCAAACGATAGATTTTATTAGACTAGATGTTAGATTAGCCACCGACAGGGTTTGAACCCACGACGTCATGCAAGAGCTTAACTCCTTTCCACCACTATGCTAAACGGTCACTTGCCAATAAAATAAAATAAAATAAAATAACCCAAGTTTCATGCACCCTAAAATCAATGGGTGGAGTCATCCAACTCTTTATAAAACTTGAGATTTTTGAACTTTCCGACGTGGGACAATTCTTCACACACTCACAAGAAGTACCATATCGCCTTCTGTCCCAATTGAAAAATACAGATTGTCTTATTTATAAGTTGTGTTAGGGTCTTGCAGCAAGTTAACTAATACAACTCGATCAATGCCAAGCTTTTGTTCATAATTTATATGTTTTCAATTAGCTAGTTGTAATTATGCCATTTTTCTCTAATTAACCTGGAATGTTTATCATTACACAGGGTTTTCCCTATTCCTGGCAATGATTATAGATAGACTACACTACTCTATCAAAGAGCTCCGTCTGCTACGAGGACTCGTCGAAGAAGTGAAGAATCTGAAAAAGGATGATGAGCACAGGAAATCTACTGCTCCTGCAGAAGTGAAGAAGGCAACACAAATGATCTCATTAATCCCCTAAGAATAATTCAAATCAACATATAGGTTGATCATTGAAATAATGCATATATAGCTTGCAAAATTTTAGATTTCTTCATAGATAAATGGATTACTGTGGTCTCCTGTAAAAATCATACAAACCTACAAATTGTAATTTCTTTTTATTGATAGTGCACAATGTGATAAACTGGAAGCATGTGTGAGTTGGGTTAGAAATTTAATATATGGGATTTGGTTATTTTTTTTATATACAAATGATATTCGACTTTAAATAACTTAAACTGCGTAGAGGGAGATTCGAACTCGATTGTATAAGAGTGAGTGAAACACATCCACTCTAACCAATATCATTCATATCGCACTACTACAAAACCATTTATTAGTGTCGCTATGATAACCAACAAAATCCAACAGAAAATGGATGCAGTGGTGGATATAATAAACGATAGAATTGTCAGCGTCAGGAAATGAATTTTCCTACATAAAATACTCTAAAACCGACAAAAATTGTAATAGATATAACCGACAGAAAATACTCTAAAATAAAAAAAAATTGTAGCAGATATAACCGACAGAAAATACTCTTAAATCGACAGAATTTGTGTTGGATATAACCGACAGAGAATTTATTAATAATGAATAAATAAGAGCATTATTTGTCGGATAAAATCGACAAAAAATATATTAATAATAAAAAAAATATAAACCACTTTCTGAATCATTTCTTTCCCACAAAACTAGATCCAAAATCATTAGCAGGTGCCAAAGGATAGAATGCTTGTTGTTGAGGTTGTTAGGGTTGAAAACCAGAAAGTTGTGTTGAATTATTTGAACCAAGAGGAACACGACTTCTTCCACCAGTTGATAAGTCAATACCAGCAGAATTAGAACTTGTCCTGCACCAGTTTGATTATGAGAATCCAAGGAAGAACTTGCAAACCCTTGCATATATAGTGCAGAAAAACTAGTATTCTCCACTTCAAGATTAACAAGAAAACTAGTATTCTCCACTTACAAATTCACAAGCATACACAACCAACTTATCACTTTAAGATTAACAAGAAAACTAGTATTCTCCACTTACAAATTCTAACTGTAATCAATCTATGGCCATCGACCTTCACAACTTCAATCAAGATTCACAGATTTGGCAATTGGCGTTCAAACAATGGCATTTGACCTCTATCACATTGGCAATTTGGCCTTTAATTGTTTCAATACTACTGATTAACTTTCATAGTAACATATATGCTTACTGAAAATCTCATATCTTTAACAAGAAATAGCTCAAGAAATCAAGAATCAAAGATAATATGTTTCAAGGTTTCGAACATAGAGCATGGGATTTCATCAGATTCAACCTTATAGCATACACCATCATAACCATCAGAGTAGCGGAAACAGATGAAAGAGCAGCACATACCGCGATGAACATGATGAACACAACTAAGAATGCAACCCAGATGAAACCCCAGATGAAGATTCCAACGAAAAGCTCCCCCAAAAGAAAAATCAACCGAAAGATTCAGTAATAGAAAACCCATGAAGAATCGATGGCTATCGATAACATATTAAAAGAACTGAAAAATTACCGTTGGTGAACACTATGAACTCATAGAGAAAGATTGAGAGAAAGGTTTAGAGAGAGAGAGAGAGAGAGAGAGAGTGAAATGAGAGAGAGAAAATGTAAAAAGATGAAACGATTTCATTGAAGGAAGGGGGAATGGAGAAGGTACCGGCACAAGGAAGAGATGGAGGGGTTTTATTTTGGAAAATTTTTATTACTATTGGTTAAAACAGATAGTAACATTTTTTAAAATAAAAACCGAGATAAAATTTTTATTACTGTCGACTATAACCGACAAGAAAAAAAAAATGGCGGCAAAATTCCCTCCAAAATTCCCTCCCAAAATTTTAAATTCTCCCCCAAAATTTTGTTACAATTTTAAATTCCCCCCCCCCCCCCAAAATATATATTTAAACCACGTGTTTATTTATTTATTTATTTTTAATCAATATAATATTTTAAAATAATAAAATAGTAATTTCTATCGGTTATAACCTTCAAAATGCTAAATTAATAACCGCCGGAAACTAAAATAATAAAATAGTCAATTTCTATCAGTTATAACTGCCACCATTAACTTAAAAACCGCCGGAATATGTTAAAAATATATTTTTTTTAATTCAAAAATATTGGCTGATATAACCGACATGATTTCATTGTTATCCGACATAATATCTTATTAAACCGTCACCATCATCTGACACCTAAAGCTAATATTGTAGTAGTGTCGGTAGAGTTCGTCGGCTTATTGTCTACTTAGAAACCCGACCCTAATTGCTAAAGTCCAAAACACAAACCTTAATTACAAAGTGTTGTGAGAAGTCAAGTAAGTTTCAATAATCTGACTTTTATTTCCCTATTCAAACCCCAACAAGAACATAATTAAGTTAGGGAGTAAAATGGGCTCATGAAATCTCACATATCGGCTATAAACTTTGGTAGGTGTAAAGAATGAAGATGCAAAACCTCTAAATAAGACTAATTTTAAGTCTACAATTCGATGAGACATGACAATTTCGTTATCCAAATAAAAGACTTACTATCGAGTTATTTAGTATAATTGAATCCTAATCATCAAACGAGCCACATACTTACATACAAGTATGAGTGAAAACCAATATTAGGTCAAATAACAAAATATCTTCTCTTTCGATGGGGAGTTCAAATAGATGGTGCCGACCTGAAAGCATTGCCCTTGGGTAGATATTTGACACTTCACAATTATGTATGGATGATCGCATAGTTTTTTTGTTTGTCAAAAACCGGTCTTTTGAGTTTTGAGTTGACCTTTCAATACCCCAAAGAGAAAACAATGGGACAAAATGAACAGCCAACGTGTTTGACTCTTCGAGAAGTCTAGTTTCATCATGGGATTGGATGGATCGGTTAACAATTTGACGTTTTAAAATTAGTTGACTTTGTTTAAAGTCTCTCTTCTTTTATACTCTATGCCTAGTTGTGGAGCCATGGACCACATTCGCTTCACTTGTTCCACTAGATGCTAATTGCCAAAGGTTAGGTAGTACCTACTTAATAGGACGAATGAATGGTATGTTGAGTGGCATGATAATAATATCTAATTTGCTAAATACAAACCGAGTGTAGTGTGACCCAATATATATGAATGATAACACATATCGTAATTGGCTTTAGATATGTCGCTACATGCAATGAAATTTTTGTTCTCGAAAATTCTTTTTTGAGTGAAGAGAACGAGGATTTCCAAGTTTCATTCTCAAAATGTATTCATTTCTTTGCGCTGCTAGCTCTGTCAATAATTTAACATATGTCACAATCGTGAATATTTAAAGTTGGTAGTTAAGAGCAAAATGAAATTATAAGAGCTGATAGAAAAATTTGGTAGTTGAGAGAGAGAGAGAGAGAGAGAGAGAGAGAGAGAGAGTTTGTGGATGTACTATTTATTTGCCAAATTAATGAGTACCCAAAAGAAACTGAACTTTGAATTTGAATATTATTCGCCTACATAGCAATGATAGAGAATCGGTAGTGGGAACAAACTTGTTGACTCCTCTCAATGGCCTAACAAAAGTCTCTAATGTTCACGCGGGAAGCTTCATCAACCTCTCAATAAATTAAATTTGACTTCTGTGTCAAGTCCAAATATGAGACTTGAATAATCTCCTCTAGCGTGCAAGAGTGAGTTTTACAACATTAGTGTATTCGTACTATGAAAGTCTTCTTTTTAACAGCCCATTCAAAGCCGACCGCTGTTGCAGTGGCAAAAAGGAAGAAATGGAACATCACATATGTTGGTATATTGTTGTCATGAGCAAAATATTTGAAAAAAAAAATGCAAAACAATTTATTTTATTAATTTAATTGAATTAAGCACATACGTGGGTAATGATACGCAAACAAAAAGGCTGGCCTAGCTTGCAAAACTCAGGTGTATAAAAAAATAATGCAATCTTCCTGAGATTAATGATTGGGATAAATTAAAAAAAAATTAAAAGAAATAAAAAAAAAATTAAAAGAGCAAGCTGGCCTTGTTTCTCCTTCTGACAAACACAAGAGACAGCTCCTCTTGGTTTGTGTACAGAGACGGCATAAGAGGCCAAAAGGGGTGAATGTACACATGCATATCCATATTATGTGTATACTTAACTAACCTTGGGATTATATATAATTAGAGTGGCAATTACTCAGTAATCACAGTTAAGTACCCTAACTACGGTCCCTAAGTAGAGGGAGCTAATATTAAATCGTATTTATATTGAATGGTTTCATTGCTAATCGTATCGAAGTCTTTTGTATAATACCATACTTAATAACGGTTAAGTTAGAAACAATATGAATGCTGATTAGTGGTAGATCGCTCAATCACCTCTGCACCTATGACAATTCGAGTTTGAGACCTCTTCTAGTATTGGGAGTAGCAATATCACTAAACGAGTAGCTAGTCAGTGATTGACTTGTCAATGTCGTAGGCTTGTAGCCCTTAAAACTACTAAAACTAAAACTACATAGACGCAAATGATAACAGTGGGAGTGAATAAAATCAAAATTCTGATGATCTGATTCAATTTCAAGATTGTTTGATACAAAAGAATCTTCTGTCGCACTATTACTAATCATAAATTCAAAATCTAAATCCTCATCACAGTTTATACTCTCAATCTCTTCAAGAACAATTGAAGCCACAGTTGAAGAATTTGCAGCAAACACTTCTTCATCTGAGACGGCATTGTTGTTTGAAACCACAAAGTTTTCGATTTCTTCATCGCTGTTGCTTCTAACAGTGCACCAATTTTCATCAAATTCCCAGTTGGGTACATTCGAAAATGTCGAAAACCCAATCAGTTTCTTGATCCTTTCTGTTGGGGAATTCAAACAAACACCTTCAACAGATAGCAATTCCATTGGACTTTCAGACGCTTCAAAAGAATCCCAAGGTCCTTGATCCAACACACTAATTGGAGACCCCATTACTTGCTCTGTATTAAACTTGGACCCCAAATGCTGTTCAAGAAATGGATGCTCAAGGAGCTGCTTAGCTGTCCACCTCTCTCTTGGATCCTTCATCAAACACTTGCTTAAGAAATCCTTACCCTTGCTTGAAAGCTGGCTTGGAATCTCCGGTAGCTCACCGGAGAATCCAATCCTGTAGAGAGCTGAAACCGGATCATTAATCTCCGGCCAAGGCCCGCTACCGGTTGCCATTTCAATAATCGTGCACCCAAGAGCCCA